TGTTAACGCACCATCTCAACAGCGCAGTTTGAGATGCCTATCGCAAACATTTTAATAAGGACTACCTGAGCTTGAGCACAGCTCTGTACGCAAGAATTTGGATTTAAGTATATCGAACAGGTTAATCCAAAAACAATTTTCGACCAACTGCAAACGGATATTAAGTAAATATTTTTTTTAAAATGATTAACATGATGTAATGTTTCATACTTTATCTCTGTCTCCACTATCAAGTAGCCCAGGAACATAATTTTATTAAATTTTGAGATTTTGATACGTAGAGTGCAGGTAATTATAATTTAAAAAGATGATCACAGCAACTAACAAGTTGGCCCACCTAACTCAGATTACTTTTAATATTATAACTTCAGTTTTTCTAAATTACAGCTTTATTATGTGCATTCGTTTATTTTTTATTGAATTTCAATCAATTTGAAACTGCAGGTCTTAAAATTTCTTTGCAAATTTCAATTTTTTTAAAACATATTCTTTTAGATTACTTAATTTAGAACAAAGGATTGAAAATTTTTTTTAATGTGTTCTATTACCTTAGATTAGCAGAATGAAATTGTTCCAGCAAGTTATTTTAAATCTATTGTCTTAAATAAACACCTTAATTTGCCTGTAAAAAACATAACATTTATCTTTCTAGTACTTAAATATTTTACTTTCTTGCTTAACATACAAACTCTGCAGATGAGATCACAATTCCCCCCCCTAATCTCTTTTGTATTTCAGTTCTGATAATAATTACAAATTTCACCTACATATAGTGAGTCAATTACAAGGTACAGAGTACATTCATAAAAAAAAAAATTAAATAGATATTTCATTCCATACTTAACCCTAGAATGCTAACCTGCGTAAATTTTACTCATACAACAATGAAATGCATACGTAACTTATAAAACCTTGCACGTAGCTCCAATATCACTCACATATACTACCTATGTTCTTTTGTATTTAAGATGCTGTTGTAACTGAATGTGGGATATTTTCCATCTTTCAGGAAATACCCTTTACTAAATGTAAAGGGTTAGTATTCTAGGGTTAAGCAAATTTTATAACCAATACTCAAAGGTAAAAAATCACATTAGTGTGGTTTGAATTAATTACTCATTTTTCATTTATATTTGCTCAAAAATCAGATAAATCTTAAATGCATGTAGGAAGAAAATGCTATTGTTTGGAAAATGAAAAAAGTCTCTAACTTAATCCATTCAGCAAATTAAATCTGGATACGAGATTAAAACTCAAACTATGCACCGAGGACAAACTTTATGGAGTAAGAAACCGACATATGGCAAATTTCATTTCCAGGCATCCATTTTTATTCTTCCAATGCCACACAAGTGAACATTTATGCAATAAAACTCTGGCCAACTGCCAAACCATCACAACCAATACACAATAGCTTCTAGAAAACATTTCAGATGAACTTCATGGCAGTCAAAACTGCCATGAAGAATTAAGAATTCAAATGATGGGAAACAGTTAGAGGTAGAAATGGGTGGGACACAGAAACTTTATCATTAGTCGTACAGGTATTGCAATACAGTTCCTGCTAAAGTAACTGTGCAGTTTGCCTTAATTTTGAAGAACACTTGGTGGCAACCCAAGGGTCTCCCAACCCTCTTTCTTAAACACCAACCTCTTGACAGGACTTTCGGCCCACTGTGTATTTTGAGTGTCTTTTTGCTGCACAGACATTATACACTTACAAACATCCAAGCCTTCTCCGAGATTCGAACCCGGACCCTTCGATACGGCAGTCAGAATCACTAATCACTATAGGAACAAAGAAGAAACATAAATTCATTGATATTTGTGGCATGATGTTTCTAATGCAAGTTACATCAATGCACATCCACCTCAATAGCTTATTTCCAACAATAAAATTCTGTGTTAAAAAACAGTGTAAAGAATTCAAAGAAAATAAAACAAAAGACTTCTGAAAATAAATTGATGCGATCAATTCAGCTGGACTGCTTATAATACAAATTCAACCTGAACAGCTTTCTTGGAATTAGAGGAAACTATGCCATAAAAATGCAAGTGCACCTGCATAAAATAATTGTAAGTGTAGGTACAACATAAATTGGTTAATTATTTATTTACTTTCCATTTATTACATCAACAGAACTGTGATTCAAATGTAAACTCTTAGTAATAAACTTAGTAAACTCTTAGTAGTATGAGAGTTACTCTTAGTAGTACTTAGCTACTCTTGATAAACTCTTAGTAGTACTTAGTTACTCTTAGTAGTCTGCGAACTCTTAGTAATAAACTCATGATGCACTTGATGATACACTAGAGTACAGCTCCCGACTCGGTTCAGTCATTCCCAGAGCTCATCACACTCTAAGATGAAACTCGATGATGCACTAACTCGCGATATACTAAGAAACTCTCTAGTAATCTTGAGAACCAACTCGGCACTAGTCTATGAGTCACTCGCTCACTGACTCTTAGCTGACTCTACAAGGCACTCTCTGACTGACTATCAACTTGCTAGACGAGACACTAACTGACTTTCAACATATAAGCAGGGTTTATATAGCTTTTGACTTGTGTTTGAGAACATTGTGGGCTAAATCAGTAAGAATTTGTTCCAGAAGGTTCTTTATCCGTCTACTGCACATCACCAATTTTGTTGTCAAATGTTCTCACCAAATGTGGCAACCCTATACCTGCTTTGTGGAGAAGCTATTTTACCATGGCTGGACATTTCATAACAATATAGTCTATCTCCCCTAATTAAGTAGCACTTTTTAGCATGGAAAAGTGAAAATTACTAACATATATGCTTGAAAGATGTAGTTTAATTTTATAATTATTTAATTTTGAAAACCTTTCAATTCTTGTTTTCCATTTACAACTCCCTAACAGAACGAGTTTTTAGAATCACACTGAATGCAAATGGGGTAAAAGAAGTATTTAAGAAAGGTTCAGCTTACTTCAGTAGGAGAGCTTAGGAGTTTAGTCTGCCATTCATTAGGCTACTTTGTTAGTGAACCTTTTATGCTGGGGCATAGTGTACGTGCCTGTTGATAATCGCCAGCTAAGTTAAATTAAGGGCCAACTATGTTTGGTACGTACATAATACACTAACTATTAATATGCATTAATATAAAGAACATCACATTAATAGAAATAAATGAAACATGCAAAATATTAAAATATATTAAATTATTAAAGCATGAAAACAAATACTATGCACATAAAAACAAAATTACAAATACGAAATGTAAAAGAAAATTAAGCAGTAATTATCTATAGGTCCTTAAATCAAATTTAATAACTCCTGTGTGTGGAGTAATTCAAAATGAGAATTGACACACAGGACAATGGCAGCATTTTTCAACAAGCAAGTAAGATGCATCACGCATCGTGAAAGCTGGTATCTTTCCCCTTCAGTAATAATGCTGTAAAGTTACTTTTTAATTAAGTAATAATGCTGTAAAGTTACTTTTTAATTAATCAAGAAAGTCTATGTTAAGTTTAAAAAAAATATAAAAAAGGGCAACTGGTATGAGATTTTCCATCACGGAAGTTCGGCGACGTCACACTCGCTATAGTCAGCTAGATGCATTTTCCCACATTCTCCCAACAAAAAACAAAATAAATGTATCTTAAAAAAAAAATTAAAAAAAAAAAAAAAGAAAACATTAAGCTGGATGCATTTCCTCACATACTAATAACTAAAAACGCAAAAAATAAAAACGAAAACGACCCCCCCCCAAAAAAAAGAGAAATTCCTAACGAAATAAACATGCCAGTATCCCTTTAACTTAAATATAACTGTGATTCCCACTTTATTTACGCCAATAAATCTATCAAAATCAAAAGCACAGAACAGAAACTCATGCTCATACATGAAGGTCAAAAGCCTTAAATGATGTGAAAACTGTTACCATTTAGCACCATCTACTGGCATTTAAAAATTCAAATAAATCATTCCGTTTTCAAGTTATATGCAACGCAGGGCTATAGAGATTGATTGGAACTCATCGCATATACGCAACACTGGGCTGGTAAGAGTGAAATCGTTGTGGCATGTATACGCAACACGGGTCCCGAACAGGCTAAAGAAGCACCATGCCATATTAAATCAGTTTTGTGCATCCTTCATATGGTTTAGCCTTGTTGTTTTAATTCTTTCTTGCTAATTCTCAAACATTTTAAAGCTAAGCATTTTGGAAGATGGTGTTGAATTTTCTCACATCAATCATAACTTTAGTTAACACAGCAGCTATAAACTGGCAAATTTCGCCCCTCTATGTAAAGATTACCCAACTGTTAAACAAAGCAATTAATCAGACATGAAAACATCAACAACTGGTACTGAAAACTATTTGCACCTGCTCACAGTGCACAAAACCAATACAGAGGATGTATAAGAATTCACGGAACTCATCCTATACCATGGTGTCAATTGCCAATCATGAGGCTCTTTTGTATTTTCTGTGATTGCTTCATGATGCTTTATAAGCCCTCTTTGTTTTGTCACCTTGTCTTCACCCTACTCTGAAATCTGTATTATTGTCAGTTTAATAAAGATACTATAATTCCTCGTACAATGAATTTGGTATGTTTCATTTTTTTCTAACAATGTCCCTCATTAGTTATGCTAAAACATCTCACTTTTCTTCAGCAACTGTAAAGTAATATACATATAGAAAATGTATGCCACTCATACACAGCTAACTATTTTACATACGTCAAAATAATGTTCTTGAAAAAATTGCACATCATTTCTTCCTTTCCTTTCAATATTAAAACTTTCATTTATACTGTTCAATAACAAACCTAAAGTAAGCAGATACCATTTTAGAAAAAGGTAAATTTCTTAAATAAACATGTTAATTCTATATTCAAAAATATCTTAAGGAAATTTGAATAATCATAGGAAACGTTAAGTCTCAAATTACAAAAACACAGTAAAATATACATCAGATTTCTTTTGAAAAATACTAATTATTATAATTTTATAATCTTACCATAATTCACAATAACCTTACTCGCTTCTCGAAATAATAAAATACCATTTGGTGAAGACACATCAAACTGCAGCCGCTGAGATCTATTTACAACTAATTCAGCAAACAGCTTTAAGACTGGTGTAGTAACAGATGGATCATGATACCACATTTCTATGGCTCGATGTAATATTGGTGTATAGGTAGGGTAGCTAAATAAAGTTAAAGATTTGCAAATGTACATCCATAAAATTTAATAACAAATAATTAAGGCTTTTCAAACAGAATTTTTTAAAATATGCTAATAACAAGAATTTATACGTGCATTCTGCAAGTCGCTAAAATTTTATAACCTTGAATTCATTCAAAAGGGCATGTACTTTTAATCATACTGCAGAACGACAGACACAGATAAGAATTCTTATGCAAATGCTGCAGAAGTATGGGGTACGACAAATGGGTTAATAATACTATACCTATATTAAGGCATTAAGTATGTGTCTAAGTGCTCCCACTAAACATTTTTCTGATACTATGTTAAAATCAATTTCATACACACACACACACACACACACAGACATTACACAACACATGTACACTATGGTTATAATTTCCATAATTAAGAGTTCTCTGCAGCATTAGTACGAAGCAGCCAGTACGATCAATGAATTTTAAATGCCTGCATTATGAAAAGATAATATAGCCACGTATTTGAATCAAGCCCACTAGCATGACAGCCAGTGTCTACTGCCCATTTATACTGGCTGAAATGCCCAGCCAGGCTTGACTTACTTAAGACTTGCAACAATGGCTTGATCATGAAACAGAAAATATTGCTTGAAGTCTATATTTAGGAATCAGGATATTTTTCTTTCCCATCTCATTTGTTAGATTAAAAAACTAGTGCTCCTGCTCTCAATAGACAAATTCCTAAAGTTGTATTTGGAAAAGATACATGAGCCAGTAACATGCATGCTTCATTTAGGATGACTCATACCCACTAGCGCAGTAGTCAGTCTCTAGCAATAACTTCATTGACAAGGATGCAGAAAAAAAAAAAAAGAGAGATTAGTAACATCATTGTTTCAAATGTATTAATGCCTCCTACAATTATACATATATTCTTTACTTGCACATACAATCATGTTTGTATATGTTGAGCACTTACTGGAATTCAACTCCTGAAGGCCCTTCTGAAACCTTCTAAGTAAATTATAATTCAAATGTATGCCAATCTAAGGCTGCCTTTTTGCCTATATGTAAATACTTCTTTATCAATTTATAACAGAAAAGAGCATAATAAACACTGAAAAAATATGGGATTTTCAAAAAGGAAGAGGGCAAAGTTTGCCAGCACATAAAATTACAAGTTACATTTATCTGCTTATAAATGATTCTATTTAAATGATTGATTCTTCCCTGGTTCAGATAGGCGTAGTTTAATTGTTTAGTAGTCCTGCAAATATACTGTTTATTCGTACAAATTTACCATTAGTAAAGAAGAGCACTTTAAGGTGCTATTACTTGCATCTTGCATGAACTGCCATCATTCCTACAATACAAAATCAATATTTTAATAATTAAAGAGGAAAAGAAAAAAAATAATTGTTATAATTAAGGGTTTTATTGAGTGCTATGGGTGAACCCTACTGAACTTTGTAGTTCCCCAAAAGCAATGAATAAGTGGTATTTATTAATTACAATTTTTTTTATTATAAATGAGCCTCTTACTCAATACCTTGATTATTGTCCATCTAGCATACATCCAAACCAAAGATGGATGCATCTGAAGCTGGCAGAAATTTTGTGTGCATAACCATTGGAGGGTTAAGTATATTTAGATGGTAAAAGATTTGAAATGGGTCACAACCAGCTGGTGGGCAACAGAAGTACGATGAGCCGCAATTCAGCAGATGACTTACCAATTTAATTAAAAGAGATGACTTTAGAGAAGAACATGCCATCAGTCACATCTTTGAGAAGAATCACTTCCTCACTATGGGGTAAAGAAACCATCCTTCAACTACAGTACCTTTACTCGCTGCAATGCACAAAGATTCATGTTAGTAAAGGAATATCGCCACTGGGGCTTTGATGCATGGAAGAAAGTCACCCGAACTGATGGCTGTAAGTACAAACTGGTACACAATGGTAGCTGAGTACATCATAACACCCATGAAGGAATGAATCCCATTTGACAGCAGAGTACAAGATGGACAGATGGGGCAGCCTCATATAAGGACTGTGTATGTGAGAAAAGCCATATTATACATAGTTCATTTGCTTTTGCACCTTACTAGTGAATGATACAAGGCTACTGCTGTCAGATCATGTGCTTCCATTTGTTTGCCTAGAGCTACCTTAAGAAGACCAGCACCTACAAGACAATGCACTAGTTCACTGTTCCAGATTTTTTGCCATATAATTTAAGGAATTCTCCACAGATGTGATTGCATGAAACAAGCTTGTGAAGATTGCAAAAGTCAAAGCTGTGAGACAGAAAAGCTAAGCATGTATTAATTTTTACAGTAATGTATGTCAGATGAGTATAAAACTTGATAACAGATTTTTGAAATAAAGGCAGAAAACAGAAAGACTATATGCATTTCATTTTTAACATGTTCATATGAATTCTATTGATTTATATATATATATTATACTCTCTATTCTATCGAGTTCTATTGAATTCTATCGAGTTTGAGACATGTCTATAAGCACACAAGTAAATTACCTTATGTGTGGTCACATCATTTGTAAGCTGAAGAAAAGGTACTGTCAACAGTGTAGCTAAAGACTTGGTTGTTTCATTGTTCTGCATGTGAGAAAGATCAAAACAACAAAACTGCTTGAATGATCCCCCCAGCACTGATCACCCAAGGAAAGCAATATCAAAGGGTAATAAATATATAGTTACAGATGTCAGAAAAGACTGGCATCAAGATTTGAAGACATTATTGAGCCATAACTGAGGATATATTTATAGCCATAATTGCCAACCTAACAAGCCAAAAAAAAAAAAAAAAGATTGACAACAGACTACACATACATAAGGAGAAAAGCAGAAGACAATGTTCACTCATGTCGAAACCATAGTTCACTATGACCAGATGTTCACACTAGACATTTTACTTTATTTGAACATTTTGTACCGTTTAAAGCCTGAACATCAGAGACACCTTTCACAATGGCATGTGGAGCACTACTGGACCATACATCCACAGGATATGGTACTCATCTCTAATGAAAGTCAAATCAATCTTTTTAGATGATTCTAGATGTCAGCTATCTGGAGAGTGAATGAAACATAGTTTAATTACAGACAAACCTTAGGAAGAAGACATCATTATGGAGTCACATTCATGCCTCTATACTGAAAAACATTAATATAAAGGTATACCCATTATGCTCAGATACAGCATACAGCTTAGTGATTATACTGAATTCCACATTTTATTAGAGTTCTATGATAGCAAACAACTATGGTAGTGAGACCATCCTTCACTATGCGAATTTTTCCCAAGAAGTCACTGTTTCTGATTTATGGGGCGTTGCACTTAAATTTTCATTGATGGCGAAACCACCGCATTATTCCTCATAAAAAGGAAGTCATTAGATTTATATGCAGTAAATGAATCACTGGAAATTGAGGATGGATAGGCCTGCAAGAACCCCATACAACCTCTGAGCAGACACTTAGTGGTATATGCACACAACACTGCCAAGTATCCATCAACTCTTAAGAATGGACAATGGAGTGGACAACACTGCCTTAAATGCTTTCTGGCAGTCTCATGTCAATTATGATAAAAAAAAGAATAGAAAACAATCACTGTTGCTCATCATATTTCCCATTAAAATACCACCATTAGCCTTCATTCCATTTCTAAATTGGATGCAATTCTCAAATCTTGTTTAGCCTTTTCATTTAATATATGCATTTTAATATATGCATTCAACTCTACACATGTTTTTTCATTCATTGATGCAGTGCATACCGATGTCTCTGTGGTATGACTTTCATTTCTTTGTACTGTTCTATCCATGACATCATCTACAGTAACTGCTGTTAGCCCCGCAAAAAAAAAAAAAAAACGGCCTTAAATTTGCATTTATAGCTCAATGTCATTTAACTCATGTATTGCACAAATCCTCAAGTTTTAATTAACTGATGCGGCTACACAGATTCCAAACAGTATGACCAAAGGCTTCTCATAAAACTTAAAAGAACTAATATTTTTTGAGACTCTTATAATGCAATTTAATTTGTTATGTAACTCCTTTAGCAATAAGCAACTGCATCAAATTTTTTTACATATTTGTCTAGCAGGCATATTAAGATAACACGTTTGATGATATGATACTCTTGATTAGCTATGGCCTGCATTTCATTAACTGTACTTTTAATTGTTTGAAAACTTTTTATTTCTAAAAGCCTTTTAACTGCTTGCCTGATTATCCCGAGTTATCTTGGGCTCGTATATTTTACAGCTAATTATTATCCCAAGAAAAGTTGGGCGAAGCAGAATTTGCCAATATGATTTGTTTTATCACGGTTTTACTCAGCCTGTAGGAAATAAAAGGAAATATTCAGCTTTGGTTGGCAGTTTGCCAAGTTTTGTAGGTTTCGCAGTTCTTTTTTTGGCGAGACTGGTCATGTGTTTTCCCTATTGCATAGTATATGTCAGCTTGTGGATTAGTAATTATAAAGAGGGATAGCTTCATTGAAAAAAGTAAAATAATGGCGATGATGCAAGATAGTGAAAGCAATGATTTTTTAGATAGTGATTATAAAATGGTGGACATGGAAAAAAGTCCAGATGTTATTCCTGCTACTGAAAAAAAGTCAAACCCAATGACACAGTGTACTTTGCTCCTGTAGAAAAGATTCTAGAGGTAAGCCAGTAAGAAAAGAGACCAGATACCAGTGCACAGAATGTCAGGTATCACTTTGTGTTGTCCCTTGTTTCAAAATTTATCAAACAAAGACTACTATTTCACTTTTTTTTTTATTTGCCCGAGATAACTCAGGATATTAAACTAATATTAAAACTAAATTCTTTTACACCGGCCAAAAATTAAAAATTCAACTTAAAAAACCTATACTTTTTGTTTTTTTTTTACCTTGTATTTAATAATAAAATTAAAAAAGTGATGATTTTTTTAAATTTTTTTCAAAAAAATTTGTAACGGAAGTGGTTAATGAAACCCAAAAATAATCTTGTACTATGTATCCTGGGCTAAAATCAACATACTGCCATAAGTCACCCCTTTCCCATTTTCAAGAATTATGAACTCATAATAGGGAAATTTAAAGTAATATTTTACATACATTTTTATAGTAGTTTTTACAAACTTAAGTAAACTTTTAGAGTTTTCGTCATACCTAAAAGTAAAATTTAAAAAAATCTCTTAGAAAAAATAATTACTCAGTTTCTAAAGGCTATGTTAGGAGGAGAAAGGAAATATTTTCATGTTCATTACATGATTTCCCTAATTAGCACCTATGTCTATTATTTCATACCTGTTCATGAAATACATGAGTGCAGCCCACATTAGTGATCATGAAATCATTTTACTTGCACTATTTTTATGCACGTTCCAAAATGCCTGCAAGTAGTACTTATTTCAAATACTATTAAAATTGCTGCACTTCATGCAGAAAAATTACAATTCTTCTATACTTAATATGAAAATTTAAATTCACCTACATAAACTATTTAAATTTAAATAGTGTCTATTCTTCCATGCATATGAATATTTGTTAAAGACAGCAAACCCCTGAACCTTTACCCATTTTGCTGAAATTCCTCTTTTAAACATGGACCTAATTCACATTATTTAGACACAGTACTCCCTGTGTTTCAAGGATTCATAGGAGATGAAGGGTGAGGGAATTGCCTGTTAACACTGTTAGAATGAAATTACTCTGTAACTGCACTTATAGCAAATTCCAATAATTTTGTCTATCCAGAAATTGCTTTGGCTTATACAGATTTGTCCTTATGCAATCTGTTATTTTCCACTTTCACATTCAATTTTATAGACACAACTGCGTCATTCATACAATACCTCTTATCCTTGAATTATGCAATTTAACTAGCTATGGTGAAAGTTAATTTTAGGCAAAATCACGTTTTATCCTTTCTTTCAAGGAGGGGAAAGGAAATACACTGAAAAAATATCTGGATTCACAAACCCGAATTTAAATTTGGAATGTAATATCTTGAAATATACAAGATATTACAGGGATGGCAAAAAAGCAAATAAATAACAGTTGAAAGTAAAAAGGCACAATGATGGTAACTAATTAGATAACCTGATTTGAGCACACAATATATATACTATTAAAGACTTCACTTCTCTCCATAATATTGTATGGTCTTATTTTTTAAAATATCTACTCATGAATTTATTATCAGTCCATAGGCTTGATGACTAACAAATAAGCCCACATTACACCTTCTTTCTGGATAAATGCAACTTGTAGTATCTTACAACATCATGCTTGAAGAATTATTGCACTCACAGCACTAAAAAATGCATTTAATACAATATAATGTTACTATTTGAAATAATTTAATCAATAAGAATTTTAAAAAATAGATCTCTTAAGACAATGAAATTCAGGATACAGGAGAGAAAAATGTACTCTATTTCACATGAAAGTTATTTAACCAGAGAAGGTCATTTGCTAAAAGCTTACAAGGACTGCCATCAAAATAGTATGAATATAATAACACAGCTGCACTAACAAATTTTAACATATAAAGAAAATCTTGATACTGTATCTTCTATATATTTTATCAATTTCAGTTAACATTTTATTTATTATATTTGTTTTAAACCTTCTCTCATTTTTACCGAAGGCCTCGCCAGCACTACCTTCAACACAGCTCTATAAAGCCCTATCTTTAAAATCTTATTTGTAATTTTGAAAAGCATGAAAAATGCAGAATTTCCACTAAAAATTTGAAAACAAACACTATTAATAACTTAGCTGTCTTTTCAAGTAGTTTAATCTGGAGAATAAATTTATTTGATTGTGTAAAATTAATTTAACAGATGATTTCATAATTTTAATACATTAGATAATATGTACAATTGAACTATGTACTGTTGCACAACTTCCAAATAATACTATGACATCATCTGCTGTCACTACTGTTAGTCCACATACTTTTCTTTCTATACTTTCTGTCAGCAGTTTAATTATAGGCTGAAGAGTTGTAAGAGTAATTTAAAAACACAGCCTATCTTTTAAAAGTATTGGCACTAGACATAAACTTCCAGTGTTTTTCTTTAAATTGTTAGTGGTCAATTTTATGCTTTCACTTTTGAAAGAAACCTAAAATTAAAAATGCAGAAAATAATTTTAAGCCGCCCATACAGCCAAAAAAGCTAAATTACTCACAATATGCACATAAATTCTTTGTGTCATCACATTTTGTGCTGCAAAAATAGTCACTGAAAAATTGTTGGTCATCTAAGCATTTTAAACAGAAATGTAACAAATAATGAATAAATACAATCCCCAGATAATTTATGCAAATATTCATGCTTTCATTACTTAAACTAGAGTAGCATTGAAAAATATATACAATATTTGCAATCGTCAATACCTACCCCCCACACACACAAAATTAGGAAATGGTCATAAAGAAATAAGGAGTTAACAATCAGGAAATTACTTTTAATATCACTAGGACAAGGCTACCACAGACACAGCAAAATAATCATGTATTACTTTAAGTCCAATATATACAGATTTTAGGAAACAGCGTTTCGTTTGAGATGGACCACAATATAAATTTTAATATTCTATATTCATGCTAGTATATCCCATGCTGTATATCCCAATATAAATTTATCACAATTCTTTATGAGAATCGGAATATTGGGGGGGGGAAACTAGCACAAGCTATTTTAAAACCAAAGATGCAGTTGAAACTGTAAAATTATGCTGAATACACAGCTTCAATACCATCCTTTTTTTTTTTTTTTTTTTTTTTTTTTTTTTTGTTACAAACAATAACACATAATAAAAAATACAAGATAATGTAAGAACAAAACTCCAAGGATACATCCATTCAAACAACATCATGTAACTAATTTTTGAATTGAAAGCAAATGCTAATCCTCTCAAATCTCGTGCAAGTCCAATTAATAGCTTCTGCTCAAAAAAAAAAAAAAAAAAAGAATGAGTAATAGGTAAACATATACAAATCACAAATCAAAATAAAATGGGCAATGAATAAATATAAATATCTATTAAATACATGTCTAATTATTCAGAAATTAAAATATACTGAAAATGAAATATGAATGAATAATTAGTGAAAAATAATAGTAAAATTCAACCTTTGTTTCACTTTCATTGAAGACAGAAGTCTCTGCAGCAGCCAGTGCATTTCCAACAGTCTCAAATGTAGCTAAAACAATGCACATATAAATTTAAAAAAAAAAAAAAAAGAAGAAAGAAATTCAATATTACACATAGAAAAGTTTAAAACTTGCACTTACCAGTTAGAGGCATCATGAACTGCTCAAATTTATCCTCATCCTCTCCTAAATTTATTAACAACAGCCTTCCAAGAGCAGTATAGAAAATAGACCTACACCTCATATCTGATAACTGCATAGCGCTACCCAAGAATGGAAAATGTTCACTCTGAAATATTTTCAGCAATATATGAAATGAGATCAGTAAGTTAAAACAACATAATTAATATTACTTACAAATTAAAATTAAAATTACTTACAGTATGGTTATTGAGCATAAACTGAACTTCTTCTAATTTCACTAATTTTCTAACACTAGTATAACCGACAGATAAATCGCTCAGAAGCTGAAGAGTTCGGTTGATAATTTGTTCACTTCTACTCCAGTACTTCAAGTTTGTTAATCTACAAAACATACAAATTAATTGTCCCACAAAATATTAAGGCAATTAAAAAACAAAACATGCGAATAATGCACTATATTAAAGCATACATTTTCCTGATAAAAACACTAAGAACCATTGCTTCATCAGCAACACCTAACACTTCAGACAGCCGCTTATAAACTTTGGATGTCCTCTGAATTTGATCACCTACATAAATCTTCCTAAACTGTTCAAAAAAATATATCGTAGCTAGTTCCAGTTTCTCACAGCCACCCTGTGATATACGATTGTCAGTCAGATTCATTAACTGTAATACTCTATAAAAAAAAGTGAAATCAAAACACAAATTTCAAAATGTCAAGAATGAGAAAATGAAAAATTATTGCAAAATTTTTTAGTAGTTTTTAGCGACGTACCTACATATTAGTTCACCATCCATTGCATCATACTCATCTGCAGCATTGAAAGATACTCTCCCTCCTATTGCTGCAGCAATTATATACACGAGCCATGTCAATTGTCCTTTGATAAATATAATAAAATTACATTACATAAAATACTCCATAAGTATAATTTACATGCAGTTCTATAAATTATGAACTTTTTACTTCAACTAAATGAAAATAAATATCATTAAACCACTCAAAAGAATATCATTAAACCACTCAAAAGAATAAAACAAGAAGATATTTTACTTCTACTTGAAGAATACATTTCATATTAGTGAAAAAAAATTTTGACCATTGTAACATAATATTTAATTAACAGTTTGTACCTCAACAAAATATATATACAAGACTGCTTATAAAAAGGGAAATGAAAATGACATAATTAGAAACATATTGTCCAGTGTTAATATAAAAACATCTAATCAAATGAAGTATTTCATTCGTGAAATTCAGAAACCTTAATTTGAAGATGGTCATGAATGGAAATCATTTACATCTCTTCAGACAAATATGTAATATTTCTCAAAACTTTCATAAAATCATATTACTCAATGAACAAGTCTAATATTTTTCTAATGTGCTTTCTCTATGGTGCATCTAAAAAGTTACTATTAAGAAAAACTCTTGCTCTCGATAAACATTAATCACACAACTCTTAACCAAAAACAAAATATCATTCTAAAATTTTTTGAAGGAATGGAAAAGAATTTGACCTTTTGCCATTAAAGTACAAGTGAAATATAATTAAAGCCACATGATTATACATTCTCGCTCACATACCAGGAAACCAAAAAAAAAAAAAAAAAAAAAGAATCTGATGAAATCATATGTTTACACTCTTTCCAAACCTTATTCAGTAAAGAGTTGTTCAGTACATCGCACATTTTGCTATTACTTTTGTAAGAAGTTCAACCTTCAAAAAACATGTCACTGGCAAAAGAGATTTCGAGGCCTATTTTGCTTTATGAGCACAAATTAGGAAACAAAATTTCAGAGGCCATTAAAAGAATATGCTTTGCGCTTGGAAAGTTATCAATGAGTGAAAGAACTACTCAAAAGTGCTCCAGCCGATTTTCTTCTGGAGGCGAGAGCCTTTGTTGGCCTCATGTTGGTCGGACAAGACTCATGCTGGTTGTCCATCCGCCCTCGACAAACAAACTCCGGCTGGAGGAGGAAATCAATTTCTTTTTCCTTTTAGTAATATTATTATTTCAGCCCAAAAGTTAACATCAGTTTTTATGTTTGCCTGTTTGTGTATACAACTACTATTTGATATTTTCTTGTCTAACAAACCTGTTTTCATCTTCTGAAATGGCATTTGAAAAATTATCTGCTAATTTCATCCCAGCAATGAAAGCAGATGTTTCACAACACAGAGCAGGACTCATGCCATTAAATTTGATGAAGGGACAGTTCTATATCTCCTGTTCTACTGGGCCAATTGACGAAATTCAAATTGTGTTTTAAATGCCTCGAAAACATGACTTAGGATATATATTAGACTTATATATTGCATATAATTTAAGTTGGTGCATTTTTTTTAGTTTGCGCCATGAATAATTCATTTGGCGAATTACTTAATATATGGCAACCTATTTTCCTTTCCCTTCCATTCTGGAGGAACGGGGAAAAAGTGACAGAGTTCCTAGCTTTTTACATTGTGCATGAGCAGAAAAAAGTCACATCATTTCTACTTTCAAATAATTTTAATAAAGTGCCTAAACCACATTTGATGTTATTATTGCTTTCAACAAATATGACAAATTTCAAAACAAACCCATATATAAATTCATGTACATCTTCAAATTTTGAATAAAAAACTTTTTTTTTTTTTTTTTTTTTTTTTGTGCAGGTATGCTTAGAAATACATCTACTTTAACCACTTCCCTTACACATTTTTTGAAAAAACTGCAAAAACTCATCACATTTTTTTTTATTTTATTATTAAATACTAGAAAATGAACAAAATACAATATATAGGTTTTTTAAGTTGAATCTTTCTTTTTTACAGTGTAAAGCATTTAGTTTTAATATTAGTTTTACTATCCCGAGTTATCTCGGGCAAATAAAAAAATCAAATTTTTTTAGAGTCGTTTGTATGAGAGTTTTTGAACAAGGGACAACACAAAGTGATACTTAACATTCTATACACACTGGTACCTGGCTCTTTTTTCTTACTGGCTTACCTACCTCTGGAATTCTTTTACGGGAGCACAGAGGACATTGACTCATTGGATTTGATTTTTTTTCAGTAGCAGCGGGAATAACATGTGGAAAATGCCTTTGAGGTTATAATCACTATCTGAAAAATCAGCGCTTTCGCTATCTTGCATCATCGCCATTATATTACTTTTTCAACGCAACTATCATTTTTTATACATTACTAATCCACAAGCCGACATATACTAGACAATAGGGAAAACATGTGACCAGGCCTGCAAAAAAAAAAAAAAACTGCGAAACCAACAAAACTTTGCGAGCTGCCAATAAAAGCTGAATACTTCCTTTCATATCCTCCAGGTCGAGTAAGACCATGCTAAAACAAATCGTACTGACAAATTCTGCTTTGCCCGAGTTTTCTCGGGATAATAATTAACTGCATACATACGAACCCGAGATAACTCGGGATAATCAGGCAAGCGGTTAAGATGATGGCAAAATTTTACAGATTATACTTCAAATTTTTTTGAAAATTATAAAATATCAAAGGAAGAAAACAAATAAGTTTAATTAAAAAAAAGATATATTAATAAATATATATCAAATTCAATTAACAATGAGGAGCTAAAATTTTGAGAACTAATTTTTAAAAAGTACTCATGTGATTTTTACAAAACTTGGCAATTTGGCATAATTTGAATCACAGAATTGAAATATGGCACGTCATTTCAGAAAAAGTCCCATTTTGTGTCAAAATACCTATATTAGAACAATGCTATGTATAAATCTAATACATATTCTAAGCCGTGCTTTCAAAACATGAAAAATGCAAGCTGAATTTTGTAGTCGTCCCAGTAGAATGTCAGATATAGAAGTGTTCAAAATTATGCATCATATATATATTCAATATTTCTCAGTAAATCAAACAGTACATCAAAAACATATGTTATCTTCTACTACAGAAATGTTTAACAGTGGCAAAATTTATTAGAATATAAGATTTTTCACTTCTTTTCTGTGTGCAGCAAAGGCAAAACAAACATGATTTTTAAGATGTGTTACGTCCAAACATATTCAGTGACTGCATAACAAATTTCTTTAACTGTTGTTTACGTTTGAAAAGGCCCCCCGCCCAATTATCATTATTTTCAAAGCACCATTTTTTCAAAGCAAAATATATTTTTGTGTAAAATGACATAGCATTTACGATAAACACATTTTTAAAAGTCAAACTGTGATTTGTCAAGACCTAAATTCTAGTCATTACTTATATAATAAATGATTATTGTTTTATATATATTTACACTATTTTTATTATTTCTATTAGTTTGTTATATTAGAATTCATTAAAATTCTTGTAAAATAATTTTAAAAGATTTTCTTTTCTGTGGCTATATTGCTAATTTTATATCAATCAAATTTTTAACACTTGTACATCTACTCTTTCCATCAACTCTACCAAAAATGTACAAATTAAATGTGTGGCTTTGGCAGTTCAACCACTAGCACTATCTATCATATCCCTCCAGACTGGATAAATGATACTAGGCTTCAGTGAGTTTCTGGTCTTAGTTTAAACATCACATTTGAAAATCAAGCATAAATTAGGTTGGTTGGCTACTTAGGGCAAAGTATGTGGAGGTTATCTGACTAAGGGGAGGAATGCCTTAATGGAGGGCTTTTTTAATGAAAAGTGGCTCCTATTTGCAATGTACATGGGGAAAATCATGGATCAGTTTTTTTGCATTTTGTTATGATTATACCACCCGAACCATATGATTTTTGCCAACAAACTGCACTTCATATTAAAAATCTGCATTTAATCATTTTTTTATTTGCTTTATAACTGAAATAAAAGTATTTTCTTTATTAGGTACTTTGCTAGTATCAAAGCTATCTTGTCGCAATTTGGCTATTTTTTTAAGAAAAAGAATGGTAATATCAAATCTTAGAAAGCACTTTATTTCAGGTCATAAATGTTACACATTTTAATTTTAGTTCAATATTTACCCTGTAAAACAATTTATAAATATGTTGCGTCTTCTTTGTTCTGCATACTTTCTGTATGCAATAATTCCAGTCTACCAAAGTATTACTGGCCATTTCTAACTTTTCCAAGCAATATTTAACTCATTAATTCTTTACTCGAGCAGTACATAAATCTGACTGCTGTAGTAAATGGCAGATGACTATTCTCAAACCAATTCCCGCATCAAATTGCTAACATGTTCGTTACACTTTTTCATGCTGCCCTTCCAAAAGGTTGTTTTCAAAACTACGTAATCACCAAATGCAAATCTGAACATTCCTGCTTTTGTGACCTTCCTGCTTCATTTGCAAGCAAATGCGACAAGCACATATTTCAAACTTCAGCTGAAGATAAAAAAAAATTGTACTTTGCCTTTAGAACTTCTAATACAAGCAGAACAGCAAGTACAAAAATGGTGATGCTCCTCATTCAATCTTACAGTTATCAATATGGTTACCTACAGAACTATTATGTGCATGTTTGCCAGAGTTTGGCAACTTCTACCAAGGTGGTTAGGATATTAGCTGATATTAACAAAGTACCATAATATATATCCAAAGTTGCAGTTTCGAGGCTTGAAAAACACAAGTTTTGTCAATTGGCTGAGCAGAATGGAAGATGTACAACTGTCCCCACCATCCTTTTGTCTTATTTTTTTTTTTTTTATTATTTTGACTAAGGGTACTTTAAATAGCATTAATTTTCAAAAGCACATACAGAGTGTATTATTTGATATATTTTTCCTGCCACATTCATTGAAATGATCTAAGATCTATTTTTTTAAATAATTTAAAACCTTTTTATAAAGTAAAACTCACCTTCTTTTATAGCAACATCTACTTGAGATGCAGGAACATTGTTGATTAACTCTTGATAACGCTGTGCAGTTTGATCAAATAACTGAACAAGTAATGTGCATGTTTTTTCATATTCACATCTTCCTATGATGGACAGCTAATAAAGCAAACAAAATGTACATATAGCAATTACATATGTGCCCATAGCAAATTTTAAAAACAATTTTAGTATTAATTGCTTTGTCTAATTAAGTATGGTTTATTATCTTAAATGTCACTGCAATATCTTCCTCGGGAAGATCTTTTGCATGCAGATGACAGACCTGTTATTGTTGCCAAGAAGTACCCTCAGGAGGGATGGAATTAATATTCAAAGATATTCATATTCAAACTAATTCTCTACATTCTTTACTAAAAAAATCTACTTTCATTTTTCATACTTTCATCAAATTTTCTAAATTTTCTTATAAAACGCGATGCTTACATTCTCGAAAGAAAAATAAATCTTTCCTCAGGAATTATCATACTATGCAGAGACAGAAGGCTGGAAAACATTAAAAAAAAACTGATGTGAACACCACATGACTTCCTTGTACGGCCTGGTTAAATTATACACATTTTTGCTGAACTTCATTTAATTTTATTTCTTCGAATTTCATTAATGATGAGAAAATATATAAAAACTCAAAACACCTTCATTAAAAATTGTAAAATATAGAAAAACCTAAAACACTAAATACAGCTACAAACAGTTTAGAAAAACAAAATAAATTTTGCAATTAAGAGTTTCTTTGCAAAAACAAGTAATTTGGCCAACAGGTAGGAAGACAAAATTTTTGGAGCATAAAATTTTAAGTTAACTTTTGGTATCGCTGAGCAAAAAGACACTCAATTTTGTGCACCTACTGGCTTAATTCACTATTCTACCAAGTTTCAAATGTATACAAATGGCAGCCTCTTTAGGCCTAGCATCACTCAAAACTTTTAAATTAGTGATAATTCTACAAAAATTGCCTACAGATTAATTAAAGGATTAATTAAAGGCATAAGAATCTTAACTGGAACAGATGAACAACATAACTGAACCACTTTTAAAGCAAAAAATGCATAATTTACCAATATATAAGAATAAAATACAGAGCTCACAGAGTCGGGTAAGAGGGGGTGCGCGCATTTGTATACATATATACGTCTGGTGCAGCCAAATGAAACAAAAAAAGGGAGGTGCATAACTAGATTTTATAGAAGACCTACATGCAAAAGTCCAATGTTCTACGGTTCATTGTTTTTTAGGTTTGCGAGATAAGTACGTACCTACATACATCACAAAAAGTCTCTTCAGAATCCCTTTTACAATCTGTTTTGGAAAATATAATCCTTTATTCTGTTTGTGCATACATATGTCCCGCATACAAATTGTCTGAATGGATTCAAGAGCAGCCCGAATGGATATTTTCGTTAATAGGATACCAAAATTCTTCACAATTATAATACTTCAATTGCTTCTTAGAAATAAGTAAAAGTGAGAAATGTGACACAGATAAACTGTTAGCCTCAAATAAAAAAATAATTTTGAGGAAAATTACAGTATAAATGGCATTATAACAATAGGCCTATATAAACAAGTTTTTGAAAATATAAAATTTTTCTTACTGTCTTAATTTAATAAAAGCATCAATCAAATTCATATGCACACTTTATTATATTTGAAAGGTACTATTCCTTACGATAACGAAGATCCTGAATATTATTTCTTAAGATAACAATCTATTCTAATCCGTTGATTTTAATTCTGTTTTTCTTGTGTTCTAGATACTTTTTAACTTCATTATACAATAATGCAAAATTTATTGCTATCTCATTAATATATCTATTACATCTGTCATAATTTATTGTTATCTATGTTACACACAAAATATATCATTTATATCAATGCATAATTTTGGTTAAATGGTGGGATTCCTGGTTTAGTTATCCACAATTCTTTTGAGTGAACAAATTATAAAACTTCATGACACTTTTAGCATTTGAGGCAAATGCACTGTCTTGGATATTGGACTTCCTGCAGCATAGATGTATCAAGCTGAAAGTTAACAAAACTTTTAACTTTTATAAGTCCATTAGAACTCAGTCAAGGATTTTCTTACGGATCAGTCCTTAGGAGGTCCTTTTGAAGGTGCATGTCCTTTTGAGGACAACAGTGTTCTCTGATGCTCTGGCATTGATATTAACAAAATTTATCTGACTTAATGACTGTGTTGGCAGATATGTCAAACTTTGCAACATAGCTATTACTCTGTTTTAATCCAACTAAATCTATTGCCACCTTCTTTACTACCAATAAGCACCTGTACAGATATCAGTCAAAGCTGCAGCTAGATAATTAGAAGTTTACTTATCAAAATTCTTTCCATTAGTGTATGTAATGAAACTTGTGCTTTAAAGATAAAGTTAATCGACACCTCTTAAGATAAGTAATATTCTGAAGTCGATGATACACCCATTTCCAAATATGAATCACAAAATTCTCTTCATTAGTTCATATAATGCACTGTGTGCTTTAAAGATAAAGTTAACGGTCACCTTTTAAGAAAAGTAACATTCTGAAGTTGATGCAGAACACATTTACAAATATGAATACTCATGTCAATTTTTTTATTAATCATTTTGAAATAATTTACTGTTATAAATTAACAATTTCATACATGACACAGAGAAAAAATGAGACATCAAATGATAGACACTCTTTTGGAATTTATCTAAAGTTATAAGAACTTGCACAAGAACTAAATACCATGGTAATATATTTAATTGCCAGGAAAAATAGAAATGTCCTGCACTGTTAGGCCATAAACTTATTTTATTACTTTTACCAACAAAATTTGTCCTATAACAGAAATACACAACCACTTTAAATACTGAAGCAAACAAAAAAATCACAATTCTTGCAACAGTTACCTGGTCTAACTGTTGCTGTACCATACCCAAATCTTCTAAGGGATCCTCCAGACCGTCTCTGAAAATATAAAATAATCCTGTAATGCTATCACAGAAAGTTTATATAAATTACAAAATAATAATAATAATCTCAACATTTCAAGATATATAAAAAGCATTAGACAAAAAAGCTCCAAAAACTCAATCTATGCAAGAAGTAACAATGATATGTACCTAAGTATTACTGCAACTGAATCCAGTCTTGAGGTTATAAAGGCATGAGTAACTTCGGGAGTATATGTTTCCAACAAATGTGGTTCTGATGCCTTAACATACGGAACTGAGGCTACCATTCTTTGCCACAAACTTAAAAGATAATGGATGCTATTTGGGGCAAACTGCCACATCTGAAATGGTTATACAAGTGATTAAGCATACAAATACTATAAAAATATAAGTCAGATAGTAATCTGGAACACAATAAGTATTTATTTTATGAATGAATCATAATTAAAGATTATAAAGAGTTACCATAATTCAGATTTTAAAAAGGCCAAGATACTGTTGAAATTAAAGAGTATGGTGCTATTTACAGTACATTATAAAACAAGATTCTGATCAGCAGTTCTCATAATACATGATGTCCACAAACCATTTTTATGCTAAACATCAAAAATGAAAAGATGTATAAGCCAACTAATGTCCATGAATTGAACTCAAAATCATACTGCGAACAAAGAATATAGAAGAAATACCTATAAAAATATGACTGGGAAAGGATTCTCACAAAATATATTTAAATCATAGACATTAAACTTATATGAAACCAAAAGTATAAAAACTAACCTGTAAACTTGTTACAGTAAATTTAGCAATTAAGCTTATTGTATCAGGATAACTTTCAACCCTAACTAGTTCTCCTAACTGATAATTTGTTTTCAATCTAGCAAGCAAACGGCAAAATTCATGATAATTGTTTGAATCAGATAATTTCTGAAAGTAAATAAAAATGAACATGTTAAGTAACTATACAAAAATGAAACAGATACAGAAATACTTGCTACAAAATACATCTCTTTGTTAACATAACTAGCAATAAGCAAGATTAATTTGTACAAGAAACCATACACAGCATTATTTTCTATACACATAAAACATAAAGCTCAGGATGAAAAAAAAAAAAAAAAGATTTTTCCAATACCATTTATGAACATATAGCAATATTAACCCCTGAAATACTAAATTTTGATAAACTTAAACTGCAATTTTGGACAACAACATTCACAATTTAAGAAAATTTTTTAATTTTACCTCAAAAACTTCAGTCAACCTCCACAATCCTTTTATTATTTGTCCATTTCAAAAGCATAAATTACACATATTTTAAGCAAAATGGAAGCTAATAACATAATTAGCTTTGTTGAATACCATTAATTCTTTATACTCAACCTGACTAAGCAACTTTTACAGCTATGCAAAGCTAGAAAAGTAACTACCAGAAACTGCTTTTTATGAATATTTCAAATATCTGTGAATATGCATGAGAATACTTAAAATAGCTTTTTGGGGTGCAAAATTTTCCTCAATCCATACCTGTGACAAAGCATTCAATATATTTCAGTGAAAGAAAATTTTTATTTTGTATGCTAAAATCAAATATTATTAATGAAAAATAAATCTGATGGGATAATACTCAATAAGCTATAAAATTAAGTAAAGCAACAACCTTCTGTTTGGTGCCTATTTTAACCAAGACTATCAATTTCATGGGCTACAGTTGCAGGTCCATCATCATCAGGGGGAAAAATTTGCAATGAAGGAAACTATACTTTTACCAAAAGAAGAATAAAATGAATGAGAAGGTAACACCATCCCACAGAAGTAACAAAACTTGAAAAATTAAGTTAATAGCATTTTAGAAACATTAAGAAGAACTGGATTTAAATTAAAGTTAAACTAAGCAAGATAAATCTTTGTAAACCAAAAAGTCACAAAGAAGATTCCATAGTAACGACCCTGAATACCTTTGAGGGCAGCCTTTGTTATAAAATCTTGTAATACATAAGTTTCCCTCTTGGAAAGTAACTGAACATTCACTAAGATAGCTAACAAGTAGATTGAAAAGATTTAATGGAAAATTAAATCTTTTTAATTGGTGTAAAACGAAAGGCCACCATACATTATTAAAAGCACTTTTCACATCCAACATCACCAATGCCATATGCTTAATCAAATTTCTATTCTCTTTTATTTTATCTAATAAATAGCCATTATCTAATAAATAGCCTTAATAGCCAAGGTTACCTTCCACAAATCCATATTAGGATTGATTCGAAATTTTATTCCTGTTTAAATGAAACCATAATCTGTTCCTCATTAACTTATCCAAGATTTTTCCAAATATCGGCAACAAACAAATTGGTCTACAGGAGGAAGAATCAATCTTGTATTTCCCTTCTTTATTAAACAGAACTAAATATGCCTCTTTCCAGCATTTAGGAAATTTTCCAAATTTCAAACATGCATTATAAATCTTACATATATAAGATGGATCCATTTTTATACAGTCAAAAGTCGTTAATTCGGACACCCATAATCCAGAATGATCTATAATCCGAACCTCAAAGCTACAAACTTTCTGCGCATGCGTCAACGAGACGCATGCGCGTAACACCTTTACGGCTGCGAATATGCGTCTGTGCATGTGCATAATACGTTTACACATGCGCGTTTAATGTATAACAGACGGTATAGGCTAAGCTAAAATTATCTAATTCAGTTAATGTTGCAGATTGCATTGTTTCTTAATCTTCGAATTGGATCCGGCTTATTATTTTTTGCAGACTGTTAGAGCAATTTTATAAAAGTAAGCTTGAACTTTCGATTATGTCAAATAGAATTTCCGATATATATTTACTAATATTTAAAGGATCTACAAAGCAAAAGTATGTTTCAAAGTCCATTAAACAAAAAGTGGAATTGCTGCAAAAAATTGTTAAAGGCATCATATCATTCGTTTCTCTAACCATTCCAAAATCTGTTTATAAATTTCACGCTGCTCTATTTCATCTCGATGTACTCCGTCTTTGATATGATTTAAATCAAATTCCTCGTCATTATAATTCGCTTTCAATAGTGAAGAAAGTGACACAGAGGTTATTGAAAACGAAAAAATTTCGATTGACAAATTAGTTGGTATAGACAAATTAGTTGGTATTCTCGACACAGCAATTATAGGACTTGAACAGCAGAACTTTGTAACTGAAGAAGAAATTATGTCTGTTTATAGAATTAAAGAGAAAGTATTATCACATAAAACGAAGCAACTTAAACAACTTACATTGAAAGAAATGTTTAATACAGTAAAAAAATAAATATTAAGCTTTTTTTTTTTTTTTTTTTTTTTTTTTTTTTTTTGTAAATTTTGATACCCTTTAGATCATAATTGTTCTTTATTTCATAAATTGCGGTTTTATATTTTTAATTTTATAATTTCTGCATGCTATCTTACCAGAGTTAAAATGATTATCTATAATCCGGAAAAATCGATAATCCGGAATCGCCAAAGTCCCGATGAGTCTGAATTAACGACTTTTGACTGTATATTCAATTATGTCTAGACTTAGACCATCTATTCTAGGACCTCGACCTTTTTTGTGGATGTGATTCTACCACATCCACAATTTCCTCCTTAAATTCAAGATCATCATTTTTATTGGAATATCTTATTCCTCTTATTTCTTTTTGAAAATCAGTATCGTCTTCTTCTTTATCGTCTGGAAAGTGATACTTAACGAGATAGTCTATCGTATCTTTAATAAACTAAACTCAGTGGCGTAACAGCCCTAATGGACCAAGGCCTGAAGTGCCCGAAATGTGCTTTCTTGACCGTGAGACCTGGGGTGTATAAGCATATACCCTGACCAAGTCGTCAGCTTGGTGCAGACTGTGTGTCTGACAAGTCAGTGAGAGAGTGGAGTGTCCATTTTCATGAAGGCCAGAAGTGTTTGAGTGATGACCTGAAATCAGGCCAGGCAAACATGGTAATTGCAGCCAAACTCATTGACAAGGTGAACAACCTCGTAAGAAGTGATCGGGGTGTGCCAATGCAAATGTTGGCAGTGATAGTGGAAACCAGCACTGAACAGTGTGGACAGTTGTGCATGACAGGTTGGGTTACTAAAAGATGTACGCACAGTGGGTTTCAAAGAAACTCATTGAACTGAAAAAGGAACTGCGTATGGGGCTAATACTTAGCAAATGTTCTGGTATCATGAAGACCCTGCTTTTTTGGAGCTGATCTTCACCAGTGATGAGAGCTTGTGCCATCATTTTAAGCCAGAGACAGAGTGGCACAGCATGCAATGGAACCGTGCATTGTCACCTTTCCCTAAAAAATTCTAAGCTGGAACCTATGCAAGCAAGGTGATGCTCACTGTATTTTTCAACATCTGACATTTCCGTGCTTGAGGATACTCGTCGAATTCTTCAAACATCACTGTCTCGCAGTACACACAGTATTGCAGTATTCAATACATCACTGTCTCGCAGTACACATCACTGTTAATGGTACTGCGAGACACTTTATAGCCTATGCAAGTCCATTACGATGAAACAGCCTGGGCTGCTTATGGAGGGAGGGATTCTGCTCTACAGCACCCACATCCACACGTCAAGTCATACAAAGTGTATTGGCCAACCTTAAGTGAGAGCAGCTTGAGCATCCACCTTACAACCCAGACATGTCACCCTGTGACTTCCAAGAATTGACTCGCCAAGAAATATCTCAGGTTCCACTAAAAACAGGAAAGCACTTCAACTTCGATCATGAACTCAAGGACACAGTGGAGGACTGGCTCCTCTTACAGCCACAGAATTTCTGGGAACACAGAATCCTTCAGCTCATGAAACAGTGAGATAACTGTGCTGAGGCTTCTGGTAATTACTTGTGAATAAAGACCTCAATTATACCCACAGTGTCATTTTGTACCTTTTCCTCTGAATACCCCTCATTAGTATACAGTTAAAAGAGAGTTGCATTTGAACACTGCACATTAAATCATAAATACAATTTCACTAATGAGACATCAGTCTGCATACTCAAAGGAATAAAGGGAGGTACAAAGTGGTGAAACAAAAACACCACTGAACAACGTATTGTCATTAAGAGTTCTAAATCACAGAATTTTGGAGGGACAGCAAAACAAATCATGCTTTCCAAAACCTCTGGAAGGACAAAAATGCTTGGCCTTTTGTACCTATGTATTCTATATCTATTAAAAAATGAACACAATTCTTAACAAAAACAAGGATTTGAAAACTTCCATCATAGTTTCATACATCTAAAAACTGGTTGTGTTGCAACTCTTATTAAGTTTAACATTTCCTGTTTGTTATTATTTAATCATTTGTTTTGTAATTTATTTTGATATATGAATCTGGCAACCAGTTTTGTTTTTGAATGTTGTGATCAGAAAATTCCCATTCTAAGCAGTTAAGTTATATTACTGAAGTACTGAATGTTTTTTCATCATTAAGATGTACGGATTGTTTGATCATTATATTAAACTCTATATGTAAGTAGTCGCATTAATATGTATGTGTTCTGAAAATTAAATAAATTGGATATTAAATGAAGTTTTATTTCGAGTGAAAACAAAAGTGGCAGCCAGTGACTAAGACATTGTACTTTGCATTAAGTAGTGAACCAGAAGCCATTGGATTTACGAATCAACATTACTTTATTGGAGGTAAACCATATAATTTATGAATCTATTTAAGTTTTGATTGCTTCTGAGTTATTTTATACTAAGTTTTGTTTCATGTAGAGTATTTATTTTCAATCTGATATCGTACGTTTAAGAAAGGTAAAATGACTAAAGATTCAGAACAAACAGAAACTGAGGCTAAATTAAAGGCTGATCAAGCGAAACTTGAAATTAAATTACGAGCAGTAGGAACTAATTTATGCTGTCTCTTTGGTATGGCGGTGA